TCCGGCCTTTAGTTTCTGGCACACATTTAGCTGTGAAAATGATATTCACTACAGAGACGACACAGAAGAACAGGAAAGGTGCAAAGAGTCCATAGGCCTCCTATATGAAAAGATATATGTTATCAAGTTTGTCTTTTATAGCTATACTTATTAAAAACTCACACAACTATGTATATGAAAGATACTACAAATTGAAACAATCAGAAAGAAAAAAATCTGAAAAATCTGAAGAAATATAATCATGCATAACTTGAGTATTATCAAGAGCAGGTTATATTATCTTTTAATGATCTTGAACAAGGATCATGTTGTTGTATGTGTTGTTAGGTAAGTTATAAAAAAATATGTATTTTCCAATTCAATATGTGTAAAAAAGAGATTTAGCTCACCACCACATGCATGAAGAGTTGCGTCAGAATGAAGGCTGTGATCCAGCTAACACCAACACACAAACCAGATGCTACACCACGCGCACCCAAGGGTAAAATCTCTGACATTAGCAGCCATGTGATTGGACCCCAACCCAAAGCATAACCTGCATAGGAGATTCATCAGCAATGTTATGCTGCATCATATTATACAGTACTAGAACTGATTCTAAAAATGAAGCAATTCAGTCCTGTTGTCATAATAATCAACAAGTTCCTTATCTGTCATTTATGAGATCCACAAAAAGCTTCTACAATAAGTCAAAGTGAACTGGTCACACTGTATATGAACAAACTTCCTAAAAACTCACCAAATATGATGACCATAGAGCTAATTAGAGGAATTAGAGTTACTGGATCGAAGGCAGGGCCTGTTGAGCCTCCATAAGTGCTCTTCAAGCCCTCGGTTACGGTAAGATTGCCATGGCTGCACGATGTTTTGTGGGTGTACATGGTCATTGAAAGCATGGCTATATACATCAAAAATCCTGAAGGAAAAAATATGTTTGTTTTTTTTCCAATGAATTACATTTACCAAATATAATACTTTGTTCTTTAATTCTACACAAACCTGAGGTGAACAGTAGAGCTTTTCGACCTGCTTTGTCCATCAAACTGGCTGCGATAACAACAGACATCAATCTTACAACTCCCACTAATGCTGCGTCATATTTCGGTTCCTAAATGGCAATAAAACATCAGTTTTTTAGGTGGATTAATGTGCTTTCAGGTATTTCACAGTGTGAATGAATAAACTCTTTATGACATACTAGTGATATAGCTGTCATGTGGAAGATGGGCTCCAGATATACAAGAATTGGGGTTATACCAGTCATCTGCTGCAGGAATCTCATGAAGACTGAGATTAGAATTGGTTTATAGTATAAAGGTGTTTTAAGATCACTCCATTGAGTGCCCTGTTGGAGAGAACATGCAAGTAATTTAATATTCTATTTTGATATAATGCATATTTGAATTTTTTCTTAATTCCAAGCAATAATTGCAGCAAACCCCCTTCTGTAAAACTTGCATTTTAAATTTTAACCAACAACCTTGAGAGGTTGTATATAAGTCAACCTCATTATGCAATAAAACATTTAATGCATCAAAACTTGAAATAGCTTTTTTTTGTGTGATTAAAAACAGTACAATACAACTGTTATGACTATACAATATTCTCACTTATTGAATTCTATTTGCATGACCTTTCAATTCTATGGCAAAACCACCCTGATAACATGATGTAATCCACCACAATGTGCCTTTTACCTGAGAATTGATACTGCGCTCAATTTTATTGAACTCGGTCAAGTAATCAGAATTGGGGCCTCTGAGCCATTCCAGCGATTTAACTGCTTTTGCTCTGTTTCCTTTCATTACATAGTAACGTGGGGAGGTCGGCATGAAGCAAAGCAAAATCATCATGATAACAATAGGGATCTCCCCAGCCACAGCCAGCCACCTCCACGGCAAAACCAAACCTGGAGAGAGACCGGAATAGCATCATTTATAAAGAATGTATAGGATAATGTATCTGGAAAATGCTTGGAAATTCTTTAAAGTGTTGGAGAAAGTGTGCTTCATCATACAACCAAAACAACCCAAGAAATATGAGCTCTCTCACCAAGCGCGTAGAGTGCTAGACTTCCAAAGACAGCTGTGATCTGAGGACATGAACCCAGCGCACCCCTCACAGCCGGGTGTGAAATCTCTGACACGTACACCTATGAGAAAAGACATCAACTGATGTTAATGAGATCTATTAGGCATACAACTGCAACCACTAATATTTCATGACGTTTCTTTAATTAAAATCCCATATGTTACAATGAAACTCTTATTTGTAGGCTATATCTAACAACACAGTGTCATATAAACATCCATCAGATCTCATGGATTCAGCAAATAATTCAGATAGAAACTAATATAGGGTTTCTATAGTATATATAGTTTTATGGAGGTAGATTTCAAATTTTCTTTTTAAAGATTTTTTAAGACCAAGGAAATAAAATGTAAGGAATAAACTGAAGACATCACAAAACGTCAATATGTTCTTTAAATGAGTTGCATTACATTGAGTCGTAACAACCCTTCAAAGTTTGAAAATACAACTTCCTACTGATCCCCATAAAAACAATAACTTAAGGCTTGAATACCTCTTCTCCCAAACACTAGAATATGAAAATAACTTTTACTGTACCAGATATTTGTTAGTTTTAAGACTTCAAATCTTCATTTTGAATCTCAAGTACATCTATTTTGATTTAAGGATGTTTAGATAGATATTTGTATTACTGAGAAAAATACTGAGGAATACATCGATTTTTAGCAATGCGTGCAACATTTAATGCCTTGACTTTATCAATTTCTGCTCTGATTTAAAGATCTTTTTAAGGCCTTAATTCATGGAAGACCTGCAGAAACCTTGCAATAACTCACAAATGTGAGTCTCTGCAACCAATTAATTCGTCAATTGTTCAGAAATCAATGGTTACACTATATTTATTTTTGTGGCAGGCCAGCAGACATGTTTATTATCAATACCTATTATCTTTACATTATGCCACTGTCATTTTTTATCAAACTTACTAAAAAACTAAATAATAATAATACAATTGCATTTTGCAGTGGCACTGTAGTATTTACAGTGGCATATTCATCAATCGATAAACAAGATGGACTAACAGATAACTTACAGGAATAGAGCCAGCCGTGATACCACCAGCGATTCCAGTCAGAAATCGGCCCCATAATAACATCCAAAAGTTTTGTGCAGCCCCCATCACAAGGAGACCTACAGCAGACGGTACTCCTGACAACATGATGCTTATTTTTCTCCCAACTCTGTCATTCAGCACCATGGCACTAATACCCCCTAAGGCTGCACCAAGGGTGAAAATTGACTAACAAACAAAAGAGAAACTAGTTACAAAGATGTATTTTTACAGTATGTTTACACCTGAAAACATCTTCTATCTTTAGACACATTAATGATCTTACACCAAACCATGATATTTGATGGATGTCCATTTGCAGCCGAGGGTCATCACCCTTTTGAAGCTGGGGGATGACAGGGGAGGGGAACACTAAGGCAAACCCAAAAGTAAAATTGCCCAAAACAGCTGAAAAAACAGCAAGGAATAGCCTGCCATGTCTAGGAAGTATAAACATAAATACATAAATGCACGAAAAGCATGACATTTCATTGAGACAGTTATAAATCGAGAACAAAGAAGGACAACGGAACGATGAAGTCACCTGATTCGGGCTGGTTTGTTTTTAATTAATGCAGTGTTTTCATCCGGACTGTCTTCCATCTCTCCTCCGCTTCAGCCTGCTGCAGACTGAACTGCTTTAATGCTCGAATGGGTATAACTGACAGCAAGTGAAAGTAAAAGCCCATTTTTGCAATACTGGGATTTCAAGATGAGGGACAAAAAATTAAGGAAGCAAACGTCAGAACTTCCTCAACTCAGATTTGAGTGAAGTAGCTACCAGCACTTTGCCGTACAAACAGTGTTGCCAACTAATTTTCAGAAAAAGTTGCTGAAGGAAGGTCGGTTTGTTGCTAAAAGTTGCTAAATGACGTTATGATGTCCTTGCGTAACCACGATGCAAAATTGTGTCCCAACATCAAATCTCAGCAAAAAAAATATTTCATATATGTTAAGTTAGATGTGTTTATAAGATAATATGCATAATATAATAAAATATAAATAACTGTATTTTTCAATACATTGAATTATTGAACACTTTTTTAAATGATTACAATTTAAGTTTTTTTAATAACTAGTAGTAATACTACACATTCTCAACTAATATGCTTTAAGCAGTGTATTAGTAGTTAGTTAGTATGCTACACTCTAAGAAAAGTCTGTAAAAATAGGGCACAATCTACTATGTTAATATGAAATAATTTTCCGAATTGGTTTTTTACCTGCATTTTAAATTATGCATTGTGTTTTCGGGTTACAGTGAATAATGGATAATGTCCTGGAAAATTACTAGTATCTTTTTTTTTTCATTTTTCTTGCAGTGTAACTGAACAACAATCACAGGTACAAGCTACTAACAAAGTGAATCATAAATGAACAATTATTCAATTATTATTATTATTATTAAATTGAATAATTGCAAATAACAGCTAACTTAATTCACGTGATGTGTGTACTGCTAGGCATCTTTGGTTTCCTCTTTCTGTGTAATTTGGATGGAAAATCTGTGCCTTTTTATTGTGAAAAGTTATCAAAACTTATCAAAAGTTGCTAAAAGTTGCCAAATAAATTTTTTAAATGGCTAAATTTGTTGCTAGGTGCTTTTGGAAGAAGAAGTTGCTAGGGTAGTCTAAAAAGTTGCTAAATTTAGCAACAAAATTGCTAAATTGGCAACACTGCATACAAAGGCAAAGCGGCTTCCTCCGCTTACTGTGGTTGCTATGGTTGCATCAACTGTCCGATCGCAGACCTACAGCTGCTTCTAGCCAATCCCGACGCAGGAGGCGGGACTTGCGTGAAAAAAAAACACGCAAGTAGAACGGCCCCCGCGCACGCGCCATGAACTCTCCCCCTCTTTTATGTGCCGCGCTGTGGCCGCCTCCCGGTTTTGAGCAACACGGAACAACAAATGTGAAAAATTCAAACACAAACACTGTTTTTACTTCCTATACGTCTGTCTATTTGAGTATTCCCTCCGTCCTTTAAATGAGCCATGGCGGTGAGCTTCGGCAAGATCGTCGTGGGGATTTATGTGGAGATAAAACGCAGCGATGGTGAGTTCATATTTGGGTCGCCTGTAACCGTCCGTTAAAGTCGTTGCTCCGGTTCGGCTAACGGATGCTAACGTTACCACACAAAACAAACCTGACAGAAACGGAAGGTTTAGATGGTTGGTTCTGGTATAAATCGACGTTCAGTGTTAAGTTCGGTCTGTTGGAGGTGGTTGCCGGGGTAGTTAACTAGCTTGTGTCAATCAACAGTGCAACTGTTGGCTTACGTTAGCCACCTGCTAAACCCGGGTGGAGTTTGTTTAGATATTCATAATGTGTGCGGTCATATTTGATATGAGCCCATTAACTTGCTTACTTGATGCAGATTAGTTTGGAATTATTTATGTCTTGTATTGGTAAGGAATATGATCAGTAAGTCTTGAATATTCTAGATTTATGTGGGTTAGCCATCTTAAGTCACTTGCAAATTAATATTTTGTTTTATAGATTGGTTGTGGACAGAGGGAAGATGCTGGTTTTACTCTAAGCAGCTGGTTTGTTTAGCTTGGTATTTTTGAAACTTAAACCCAACATAAGTTTGGATGCCACTTACTTCACATCAGTCACTCATTTAAGGTTAACGACATCTGAGAGTTTTCATATAGGCCTAGTCATAATATTCTGACTGTATTGTAAATGTAACGATTTGAAGATGACAAGCAAGTTCCTTGATGTTAAGTGATGTGTCATTCTTTGGGTTCAGAGATTGAACTCCATCCTAGTGGCCAAAGGAAATACTGACAGTTTGGGATTTAAAAAAAAAATTGTATTGCTTAATGTACATAAAACAGGGAACATCGCTTGGGATTAGTTGCATTATTATAAACAGATGTATAAATAAATTACCAATATTCACAGTTCATTCACTCAAAAATAGAACCAAACAATGGCTTTCACATGTGAAGTAACCTGTTTGATGTACTGTTTGGATTCTACTACTATTACTACTACTACTAATCTGTATTATATTGGTAATAAAAATAATATATTTAAAATGTTTAATGACGATTGAGATTAATTGTGTAATTACAAGTAATCAAGTATCAATTTCTACTAATGATGTCACAGTCCAGAGATGGAAATATAGTAAAACTAGTGTTGGTGTCTTGTAAGCATTCAGTGGCGTATCATTAGTATTCGCATCAATACTATTTGGAAGACTGTCAGAAGAGATGATGATTTGATCTCTTTGAGAAGGCTGTGTTATATTTAACTTCAGCTTGTAGCAAAGAAATAAGTGAGCCCCGGGTCTGACGTGATAGACAAACTACTCCTGTCTCTTTGGGAAGTTTCATGTATTGCGTAATAGAGGTGACTCTTGACATGCTCTCTGAAGATGAACAGTGCTTGTGACATCTTTTAACAGAGGAGGTCTCTAGTGTCATAAAGATGTGCCTTTACTTCAAGCTGGGTTTTAACTTTTCTTTTGGCCTGATGTTGCACACAGCGGTTTTAAATAGCTTGTTTTATGGCAGGATAATGTGTGCTTTTTCTTGCTGATGCCGCTGTTGAATAATTGCAGGGATGTCGACGTGTGAGTAGGAATAGCTCTGAATAATAGATACGGAGCCATGGCTGTTTGTTTTCAGTGATGCTCTGATACTTTTCAGTAAGTAATAGCACAACTTCTGAAGTGTCCTGAGAAGCAGATTGATGTTGACATGCCATCATGTACATAAACACTTTTTCAAGTTACCATTAGATGTGTAAAATTTCTAAGTGGATACATGAATGTTTTCAATTTGTCTTTCACACTTAGAGGTGTTGGGTTACTTACAGGGCGAATACACCAGGCCATGGTGACCTCTTTAAATGAAGATAATGAAAGTGCTACTGTGGAATGGATAGAAAATGGAGACACTAAAGGAAAAGAGGTAAGTCTAGTAGCCTCTCAGCTGCCTGTGTCATTAATAATGGATAGAACAACATTCTGGTGGTGTTAGGGTTCCGTATGAAACTCTCAGTCAGTGGACACATATGCTGTGTTTCTTTCAAATATGAATTATGTTATCATGTACCCTGAACCATTTTTCTCCTTAAGATTAGGGCATTCTGCATGATTTGGCAAAAAAAGTGATCAGATTTCTTCTTGTAATGTTCACAGCTTGTTCTTTTTTTCATAACAGATTGATTTGGAGTGCATATTCTCACTAAATCCAGATGTTGCTCCAGAGGAGGAGATTTCCTTGAGCCCTGTTACACCACCGCCTCCTACACCCAGCTCTGTGAAGGTCAACAAAATCCCTAAGGTTTGTATGAGGCCAGAGTTAAAAGTTGAACTTGCATTCTAATTGTTCGCATATTTTGAACCTTTTTGTACACTTGTTTGTGTGCAGAATCGTAGAACTATTGCACCGGGAAGGAGTGAAATCCCATCCAGAGACAATAGAGGTATATTTGTTGTTATATGACTCAGGAATAGGGCTGCACAATAAATCGAAATAAGTTATGAATTGGAGTATGGCCATGTGCAGTTATTAATCCACAAAAGTGATTTAGGTAAAAAAAAGAAAAAAAAAGTAGGGTGCATGTGCTGGGTGCTTCAGAGTGAAGGGGCAGCACATGCATGTGTCAGGCTCATGATGCAGTTTTTTCAGAGAGTGCACACTCCACAAGCACTTCATTGTGACTGTACACTAAATTCGTTATAACATACACTGGGAACTACTTTTTTCCTCATTGCCTAATTCTAAACATTTTTAGTGCTATAAGTTACCATTCAAATCTAATGTACTGTAATAACACTAGGGGAAATAATTGGCTATATGTGATTTTTTTTTTTTTTTTTTTTAAGTTTTCCTTTGCAGAAATTGCTTAAAGCATATTTGAATATTAAGCAAAGTTTGATTCAAAAATGACATTAATGGACATTAAAAAAAGCTTCTCCTTGGAAAATAGAGTTTTTAACAAATATCAAATATATTGATTTTGTGTAACTTTTTGTTATTGTTTGTTTGTTTTTGTGACATTATTGTATATAATTTACTGAAGTATTATTTTTTATGACTATTTATATATTTTAATTTACTACTCATTATTATTGGTTGAATTTGCCACAAATTTAGCCTTTGATGCTGATATGGTGTTAAATGATCAATATAAATAATAACAAGGTTTTGTAGACAATGGGGGCAAGTTCACCAGAACTGGAAGAAAGTGCATATAAAAAAAAATACACCAACTCAAAGGCTGTCAAAATTAAGACTTGAGTTTATTGCCGCATGAAAGATTATGACAGGTGTATATTGCTATTGTTAAACAAAATGTTATTTTTCTAAATAAAGTTTATTAATAATTTAGTTCGGTTACGAAAGAGTAACATCATGAAATGGAAATTCACCCTACACCAATTCATTCTTTTTTTAAATGCATTTTATTAATATTATTGTGAATAATACATTTATGCACACATAAATTATTATTATTTTTTTGATATGGTAAATTTTGATATAGTAAAAATTACTGTTTTACTACACATGACTTATAGTTGTCTTAGCATACTAAGCTGGTTGTGTTTCAAAACTTGGTGAGCTGTCACCCTAAGCGGCATTTCTGTGCATCATAGGCATGTTTTGAGTGCTCCTGTGATGCCTCAGTTTGCAGACATAGTCTCTGTTTGTCCAAGTGTGATTCGCTGACTCTTACGTGTTCTGTTTTAAAGTTGTCTCGACTCGGGGACGGCCGGCCCAGCAGCAACAGCCAGAATCAGCACCCCCTCCACCAGCACAACAGCCCTCTCAGCCCACACAGAGCCTGACCCAAAGTCAGCTAACTCAGCAACAAAACGGTAATATGACACTCCTCAGTGCTTTTCAATCTGTTATTGTCAACTCCCTTTTTCCCCACAGGAAAACGCTGAAAGCTGGACTGAGGTCTCCTGCGCACAATGTCATGCATAAAGAGAAAGCATCCTTTTGGAGTCTGAATTTTGCAGTAAACCTAAACCTTGCTCATCTGTCGGTACCTTGGCTCAAATCTTGGCTACCCCTGCCACCCCTCTGAATGTCAGTGACTGTTTGTGACCAGGCAGGATTGACCTGACTCTGAACCTCCCCGATTAATCCTCTTGCTTTGAATTTATGAAGCTTACTAGAGTCTGTCTGCTGAATTAATTAAAAACTGTTTTCTTTGTGCTACATGATGCAGCACATCCTTTGGGCAGAACTACAATTGTTCTAGACTGGTTTGATTTGCTTGTTTAGTGCAGGGATGGGACAAAATTGATTCACAGATATGCTGCGATTCTTTCTCAGAATTGCAGTTAAAGGAATAGTTCGACCAAAAATGAAAATCTGCTGAAAATATTCTCACCCTTAGATCATCCAAGATGTAGATGAGTTTGTTTCTTCATCAGAACAGATTTTGGATAATATTAAAATTGCATCACTTGCTCACCAGTGGATCCGCTGCAGTGAATGGGTGCCATCAAGTCTGAACAACTGTAAAAGCATCACAACAATCCATAAGCAACATTCACAAGTGCACATTTCTCTCCTGATTCAGATGAGACCACTTTTCACCGGAAAAAGCAATATTATGGATAGAGATCTTCATTAATTGTTTATTACAAACACACAGCTTTTTGCTTCACAAGACGTTAATTGATGGACTGAAGTCTTGTGGGTTATTTGTTAATTATTGTGATGTTTTTATCAGCTGTTTGGACTGATTCATTTGTTTAATTTTTGGGGAACTATTCCTTTAAATCGAATCGTGAGGTTTCTAAAGACTCCCTAGTTTGGTGTCGCAAGAGGAGTCCGTGTTCAAACTACACACTGTTTGTGGGTGGATTAAATTAGTCAGTCAGATAAATATTAATGCCTTCATTATGTGGCCTAATCTGTTATTCCTTATTCTGCTGATACTACTGTTTGCAAGTAATAGCAGTAATGTTGGGTATGTTGTAGACAGCAAGAGCGCATAGATAAATGTTGTTGGAAAAGGTCTGCTCAGAGAACAGAGCTCTTTAAGATGGAGAGGACTGTTGGCGCTACCATGTGCCAGCTGCCAGAGGCTGTGGCTTGCCTCTATAGCCACTCTGTCTACACACACAGGGCTCTACACTTACTTTTCTTTTTAGGAGCGCTTGTGCTCCTAATTTAAAAAAATTAGGAGCACGGTCAAAATTTTAGGAGCACCTTCTAATCAGTAATCAAAAATTCTGATAAAAAAATTAACCTTCCCATTACGAGGTGATATTTGACTCCTTAAAGTGATTACCTTTGTAATGGTATTTACAAACCTTTGTCATCTTTTATGTCAAATTCAAAAATATATATTTATAAGCTTTTTAACATTTCTAATTAAAACAACAGAATAAAAACAAGTAGAAAAAGAAGTAGATTAAGAATAAGTTACCAATCAAATGAAATCAGTATTTAAGAAATAAATCTGTGCTACAGAGTTGGCACAGAAGAACACACAAGTGGCTTGTAGGTGTATTTTCAGACATTTAATGAGGCTCCAGAGGGTGCATGAGTGCAATTAAATTCATGTTGAGGTTAATGTTTTAAATATAAAATTTTGAATATAGAAATATTAAATTATTTAAATAACAGAAAAGATACTTTAAAAATTAATCTAAAACTGCCAGCAAGTGGCGGCAAGTCACTGATTTTATCACTGAATCATTCATTCAATTGATTCGTTC